TCTGTGTGTGTGACGTGCGCTGACTTATGCTCTCTCTCTCTCTCTCTCTCTCTCTCTCTCTCTCTCTCTCTCTCTCTCTCTCTCTCTCTCTCTCTGTGACGATGGTGGCAGATGATGGGTGACCTGTAAGAATCGCCCGACGCCGTTTTATCTACTACAGCCCTGAGCACCATCATCATGATAATCCCGACCCCGATCCTTTCAGGTGATCAATCGTTCATGATTAATTAGCATGGGCGGCAATTAACTGAAGAAGCGCAGCCGTATGATCGAGATCCCGACCCCGCTCATTTCGTTTGGCAATGGTCATTATTCATAATACTAATACGGTAATCATGGGAATGGTGCGGAGTGGGAAAAAGGCCAACCACGTGATGATGACGCCGATGATGATGACGAGGTGTTGAATGATGAGGAGGATGATCGATGGTTAAATTTGCCAACGAGCGCAACATTGGGCCTCACTGCGCTACTCTCGATATGCGCAAAACTTGAGTGAATCTTCCGTTAGAATATGGAAAGATACACGGCCAATATTCTTGTCTTTTGTGCATGTCGAGAGTAGTGCAGCGAGGCCCATTGTTCTGTCATAAAAACTCACATAAACTACTACTACTAATCACTTCGGTAACGCAAATCACATTTTTAATACAGTAATAAACTTTCTATGATTAAAACGACCTGCCGTGTGTGAATCACACATACACATTTTTATAGTCAAAGCAAATCAGGTTCAGCAACGCTATGTCCTAATGCCGTAGATGACCAGTTGCGTCTTCGCGCTACATAGAATAGAAACACAAAGAGATGTGGCCAACGTGCACGTCAAACAGCGTAATTTCTCCCTCTTGTCTTTCCTCCCCCACCACCCTGATCATCGAGCTCCTCTTGCCGGAGTGATTTCGCTCTTCCCCTTGTGTTTCGTGGCTGGTCTGCTGTCTTTATCAACGAAGAAAAACACTTGACATTAAGGGTAAGGAAAGCGGGGGCAACGGCGAGGCAACGGGCAATCTCTCTCTCTCTCTCTCTGCGAGGCAACGGGCAATCTCTCTCTCTCTCTCTCTCTCTCTCTCTCTCTCTTTCGCTGGTGCCACCAGCCATTGTGGTCTGGTAGGCCGAACGATTGATATAGTGCGGTGGCGACGAGTTGCTTTTTCTGCAAGGCTGGGGCCTTGTACTGGCTGTTTAAACCACTGGTACATCTGGAGAATACGAATGAGCCTCTCCAAAAAGTTAGGGGACCCTGTACCAGGAGAATACGAATGAGCCTCTCCAAAAAGTTAGGGGACTTGGGACAGGGTCCCCTGGGGGCGGGCAAAATTTTTCCTTTTTGTTCAGGGATGAACCTAGTGCCACCCCACGGCATGGGACAATTTTTTTTCCTACTGGCCCTTAGGATGCCCTGTTCCAAGCCTCCGAGATTTTAGGAGAGGCTCAATGGGATTCTCAACTTGGCTGGGGCAATGTACTAGCTGTTTAAGACTAAGAGGATACCTCAGGAAGCTGGGGTGGGTTCAGTCACTGTTACTTACAATGCTTAACAGCCTACAGCTGCCTAGTACTTGTCTATATGCCATACATACTGAGACTGACAGGCCTCAAACTGAGGTCTGTTACACTCACACAGTCAGGCACAGACATTTCACAGTTACGGGTTATCTTTACAGTGCGTTTAACCCAATCCACATTCGGCTGTGAGTGACAAGTTAACTCCGGGTTCAGAGTTGAACTTGATATGGGTTAGTAATGGCAGGGATAAGTTTAGAGCACCCCTTTGCCAGTTGCTTAGTACTCGACGAGAGAATGGAACCGGTAAAGGCACCAATTGTGAACTGTATAACAAGGAAATGAATGTTCAGTGGAGGATAACCTGGGGTGGAATGGGGACCACAGAGTACTGGTAAGAACTGCATGGTAAGAATCATGGGCTCACCTGTAATTGTCACGATGATGGTGACCAGGTTCTGTGTTGCATAGGATTCGAACTTGGGTCTGCAAGGTGGTTTAGTGATGATGGTGACCTCAAGTTGGTATTTTCATGGCAGAATGCGAGGTGGTTCAGTGATGATGTTGCGCCCTGGGACATACTCCAGAGTCCAAACATCTTGTTGCATCGGGACTCGAACTTGGGTCTGTATTTCAACAGTTCACAGGTGTACCAACTGAGCGAAGCCCATTGGTACATACTCCAAACATGCCATGCAACGATTGCAGAGCTGCATCAATTACGCTCATGAGTCATGACACAATTTTATAAAAGAACAATGAACATCGCACCAACGGTCTGCATTTTATAAAAGAACAATGAACATCGCACCAACGGTCACATTTGCAGAGATCCTCCAGGAGCAATACACAGTAAGATGACACGTCGACCTTATTCGCGGTGGTGTAGACGAATACAAGATTTAGCTTATAAGACGAGACTACGAGAATAAACCAATCTTGAGGTAGCTTCGACCGGCTTGCCAAAATGTCCATAACATCCTCAGGTGCCAAGTGAGAAGGAAAGATGGCACACCATAGATGGGGACCAAGAGGGTCACACAGATCCAGACACCCATCGTTGCACCCTTGTTGTAAGAGCAGCTTGCAGCCCAGCAAGCCACAGAGAGGCCCATCAGGGCAATAAGGCAAAGGACAACTGCAAATCCTGCAATCACCAGAAGGCTCAACACAATGAACACGAAGACCGGATGGAAAACTGCAGCGACAAAGAACAACACATCCATGCACAAGTCATATCAGGAGTGAATTCTGAGAAAGGGCATACAAATTGAAAAGCCAAACACATGTGTCAAGCCAAACTACAGTATGCAAACGTATGCGAGCAGAAACGCTGCAGAAACATGGAGTGGAATGGTCCATTGATGACGCAACACGCTGCATGCGAAAAAGCAAACGTCATGGGATACGTAGCCAGGGGCTTCACAAAGATGTGAAACAAGATGGTTCTCCTTGTATGTGAGTGTGTGTATTTCTTTTGTGTGTGATGTAAATCGTCACCACAACAACCCCTTTTCCACCCAGATGAGCAGATCCAAAATTCAAACAGCTTTACCGCTACAGTAAACAACATGAAGCACACTAAGATGAGCAGATGCAAAATTGAAATTTGTTTTTTTCTCGTTTGTTTCTTCTTGCAGCTCCCCTTTTACTGTGCCTCTCACGTACAAGGCTCACCACCTTGATTGTGGTTGAGCACGAGCCATCCACATGGCTCACCACCTTGATTGTGGTTGAGCACAAGCCATCCACATCCCCATGTGTGTGTGTGTGTGTGTGTGTGTGTGTGTGTGTGTGTGTGTGTTTTAGATTTTCCCCACAACAGCCCCAATTCCACCCAGGTGAATAGATTCAGAATCAAAGCAGTCTTTGTCCTATTGCAGACAACGAGAGCATTTGAGATGTCCAACATATTAAAGCAATTTTATAATTAGACAGTTTTTTGGTTGTCCTTGGGGTACCCCTTTCATTGTTCTTGCAGCTCCCCTTTTACTGTGCCTCTTACGCACAAGGCTGCCCACGTTGATTGTGGTTGAGCGGCAGCTGCCCACATCCCCGTGTGCCTTCACGGCCCGCTTGCACGTTATTTCAGGAGGCAGAGTAAAAGGGAAGGTATGCTCCTGTGCATCTCTTCAGAGCTTCATACTCCTGTTCATTTCACTTGTGTGTGTGTGTGTGTGTGTGTGTGTGTGTGTGTGTGTGTGTGTGTGTGTGTGTGTGTGTCATATTTCGGAAGCAAGTCGGACAGCGTGCATTGCTCTGGTGAGGGCTTCAAAGGACGAGTTGGAAGCTCTAATTAGGACTGTTAGGTCGTCTGCAAACAAGATAGTAGGGGGAATGTGTCTGATTGATCGGTAAGCCTTTTGCAATCAGACTCGTCTTATTCACACTTTTCATGCACGTGAACAGCAGCACAGCAAACTGGCGACATGCGCCCACACAGTACTCAGAGATATGGCCCGTTTCACTTTGAATAGCTGGGTCCTTCCTAAGGTAGGAAGCTATCGCTTCCATAATGAATAGGAAGATGGGAGCTGCTAAGGGATCTCCTTGTCTCACTGATCCAGACATCTGATACCTGTTGGATATGTGACCGATTACCTGTACTGCTCCATGCGCGTCATTGTAGAGAACTCTTACCCATTTCCTGAACTTTGGCCCTACTCCCATTTTTTCCATACAAAGTTGTAGAAAGTCCCAGTTCACTTGATCGTATGCTTTTTCAAAATCGAAGAAGAGAATTGCTGCATTCATTCTTTTATCTTTGATATGTCTAACCGATTCTGCCAGCGTCATTACATTGTTTAGGATTAATCTACCTGGAATGAAACCTGTCAGGTCTATGTGGAACCAACTCCCCGTAACCTTTCTTATTTTGTTCGCTAGAAGTTTGGCTATTATTTTATACACTATTGTTAGTAGAGTGATGGGCCTCTAGTTCTTGATATCAATTGGGTCGCCCTTTGTATAATAGTGTAACTATTCCTGTACTTAGATAAGACCCTAGTCCTCCTTTTTCCCATGCCGATCTTACAAATTTGCACATCTCTTATCCCAGGAGTGGCCAATATTTCTGCCAGAACTCCTTGGAAAGGTGGTCCAGGCCCGGTGTTTTCCCAGATTTCATGGAGTCTAGAGCCTTTTGAATCGCCTTATCCAATTCTTCGGCTGTGTCAGTTGATAATAACTTGATATCGTTTTGTCTAAATACTTGGTGAGCTTAGCTCTGTCCTGTTGTATGGAATTGGGTGTGGGGAGCCTTTCTTTTCCTTTCCCGTTCCCTTCTTCCTGACGAGACTGGGTCTCGCTCCTTTTTCTTCCTAACTGGCTTGTCTTTTGCCAAGGATAGATGGTGCTGCTGTGCTCGTAGGTGCGGTGTTGCTTGCGATGATGAGCGCACTCCTCCACGCCCCTCTTTCTTCCTGCCTGAATTCGAATGGTTAGGAAACGAGCTTTTGTGATGGCGCGAATTCCACGCGCACTCGTTTCCGCCCACCCGCCTCCCTTGCTATCCGCTTGTGGTAAAACAAAACACCGCTGCACGGGTGCAAATTACCACGGGCGGCTCGCTGTGTTCGGGGCTGCGTTAGCGCTCACCAGTTGGCACCAGCACAAAAACGCGAGTGTCCAACTGATACCCCTGACTACAGTCAACATCCGTGAGCTCTGTACCTTCAAGCCACCCAACAAAAAATAATTAACATCGATGTGGATCAGCTATTAAACTGAACAGATACTACACATGATCAAAAGGCTGAGAGTACCTATAATTGTGACCCCTCCTACCTATCATTGCACCGAAGAGTACCTGCTGAATTTGAATATGCGTCTCATCACCAAGCGAGAGAACTTTTATCTGAGGAGCACCATTTGCCAATGGTGAATTAGAGGACAGTGAGAGCAAGCAATTAGCAGCGGGACAACAGGGCACAAATCGGACAAATCCGCCACTGCAACCACGCCATGAAGCCGGTGATGCATCTGCCTGCACTACTGTAACAGTTACTCTTACTACAGGTACTAACTACCTCTCCATGGCCTTGAGGTGGGACGAATGTTGAGCAAATCCGATTCGGTAACATTACGCGTGGAATGCTGTAATCAAATCCTCGAGTTCCATGCCTGTTCTTGAGGCGTGGCTCACAGTGGGACTTGGTCACTGTGTGACCCAGTTGCAATTCCTTGGACCAAGGCCACAGTGACTGACTCAGCAAGTGAATGGCAATCAGTACTCTGAACAACAGTCCTCCCCGAACAGAACGACAGTGGTTTCGGGTACCACCTTTGGGGCAAACGTCCGACTTGCCCGAATTCGTTCTGTGCGACTATACATCACAACAACCAGCGGCCAAAGATTACAAACCCATGTTAAGTGGAACCTTACCAGAAAACTGGTTTCCTTCGGTTGGCCAGGCGCTGGGGGATCCTCAAACCTGTACGCCACCTTGAAATTAGCCCGGGATTTCCTGAGTACAGATGCAATAATCATCAGCCTTGGAATGGCCTCATGCATTCAATTTGGGGGATGACAGTAGGCTAGGTGAGCATAAGGCTTACCCACAGGCAGGCCATGTTCATCAACTTCTGAGATTCTTTCAGACGAAAGGCAACACCATATTAGGTCACCTGACATGGTTATCAGCCTATCAGTAGAACCTCAGGTTTCCTTTGCAGAGGTCAGCCTCCGCTCACTATTACACATGCTAATGAGCCTACCCTTCTTTTGCCAAAAACAACTCCTATCATCACGAGTGTATTGGAGGGGCGCAGACAGCATATGTCCGTTCCCCCAGATGGGACATTGAGTTTTGGGGAAAAAGGGTAGTAATGGGACCTCAGCTTCCATTACAGTGGTCGGCCTCTGTTCCTTACCACGATCAACAAGTCTCACAACTCCCTATCATCACGAGTGTATCGGAGGGGCACAGACAGCATGTGTCCATTCCTGCTCATGAGAAGTGTAGTCATGGGACGTCAGCTTCTGTTACAGCGGTCCACCTCTGTTCCTTACCACGGTCAACAAGGCCAACTTGTATCACCAGTCCTGCCAGCGGGTTTGCACACTACAGTAACCACAGTTATGTGCTCTGTGGACAACATCTACCACATGGGCAAGCATTATCCTTATGAGTTCACGGCTAGTTGGAGTCGAGGGTGTACACAGGGGAAGTTGGCCAGCGAGCTCATGGTAAGGGGGACCAAGGGAGACCTACCCACGGGTTGGGGCCCAACCAAGGGTGACATGAGTGAAATTAACAAAACCCTACTGAGGGTTCCTGGTACAACGGAAGACTTCCCACGCGGAGGAGCCCAGCACAGCTTAGATTGTGGGCTCATCCGCCCTTGGGTCTTAATGGTATACACATGAAGCTGCTGATAAACAGAACAGAAGTTGGAGCTCTGAGTAATAAGACCATGTCAGGGGCTCATACTCTTTAGGGAAAAGGATAAAGGTTGGGTTTGGGGCCTCGGATTTTCAAGTTCTTTATGGCTCTGCGGGAAAACTCATCAGGTCAAAAACCCATTGGTGGTTTGAGAGGGGGGGGGTTGCTTTGACACCATATCATGTGATTCTCTTTTAATAACCAGTTGAAAATGGGGAGACGAAGGAAGAATCAAAAGAATAAAAAAGCCAATGCCGAGAAACATTTGATGCCGGTTTGATCAAAAGAAAGAATTCAGAGCTGGATGCTAAGGCTTATCATTGCTTTATCATTGCTTTTGAGATGGGATGAGGCTGAGCATGTTCTCTTGAACTTCATTGCTTCCCCCAAGCGGGGCTCTCCACGGCTGAGAGATCTGAAAGACAGATACGTGAGCAATGTTTCCTTTTTGAAGGGGGGATAGCCCCCAAACATTCTTGCTTTTTTCTGATATCACGATTTGGGGTCATGTTCTGTTTACTAACAGTTACATCTGTGTACCATTCAGTCACATGGTGAATACATCAGAAATGTTCATCAGCTGCAGGTACGGAACTTTTACAGCTGTCTGATCTGTGTAGTGGAACGCATATCTAACAGGCAGGTACCTGCACGACTCAGATATTTGCCATATCATCATGTATATCAGCTGCAATAAAACGTGAACATGCGTAACTCAGCATCACGACATAGGCACAGACGCGCACACACACACACACACACACACACACACACACACACACACACACACACACACACACACACACACACACACACACACACACACACA